ACTGTCATTCATTACTTTAGTTGTCTTTTCTTATTCACCCACTTTAACACTTTAATTGCCATGTGAGTTGTATTAACTCGCATTTAAATACAAATTCACGAGCCTGGAGCCTCACAAATCATATGTAACTCACACATCTCTTTACCTTGGAAGCCATATGAACTGTTTTTCAAGTTGCATATAACTCATTCACAGAATACAATAAAAAATAAATTTTTCATTAAATTGGAAAGGATTGTTTTGTTTTTGGAGTCTTTACTCTATTTTCATAATAAGACACCAGGCCCCAAGAAAAAACAATTATTCTGGTTGAATTGAATAAGAGAAAGTCATTCGAGCATCTTCCAAATACCGTACACTTTAGGTACCTTAAAATCATCCCTACCTTCAAATAGACCTTGCATCAAATAAACAAGACATAGCAAAGCAGTGGAAGGTTGAGGAGGGAAGGCTAGGGCATGTGAAAATTGTCCCTGTTTCTTATTAATAATTATAGTAGTATGAGTGATCAAAGATATAAATTAAGAATCACTGAAGTGGTTATGGGTTATGAGTTAAGACTTGCAAATAAGACTGGAATCAGCAAGAGAGTGGGAGGAAAAGCATGGGTGAATAGGAGGGAAGACTAAGTGATAAACAGGGAAATTGGTGCTTATGGAAGAGAGGGAGGGGAATATCTGCTCTCATATATTTAGGAAAAGATTATCTGCTTTTCAGGGATGCTAATGAGCAAGATGACACTGGACATTTTCAGAAAATATAGAAGATTGGTTTTTACTTTGTAATGTCATTTCTCTCAGTTCCTGTGACCTGAAGTACACAGAAGGAGTACAGTCCCTCAACTGGACTAAAATCATGAAGACCATTGTTGATGACCCTGAAGGCTTCTTTGAACAAGGTGGCTGGTCTTTCCTGGAGCCTGAGGGTGAGGTGCGTGAGTGTGGGGTTTCTTTTCTGGTACATAGTGTTGCCTGCTGTCATTTGGGCAGTTAGAAGAATGGCATATATATAGTACATAGGGGACCAGACCAACTGGGAGAAGCTCTAAACACAACATAGTATTATTGTTTCTCCAAATGAGTTTTACAGGTGAATGATAAATTGCTTACACATTGATAGCTACTGGTAAGATTTCATTGAAATTATAAAAAAAAAAACTGTTCCTCAGTGAGTTTTCTTAGTATTTAGAAAAAATATTTTGAGGACATTTTGCAAAAACTATTTTCTAATCCATTGAAGTGAAAATAGAGGGAAAAAATTATTTTTTAAAAAATGGTCCTCCCACCTCTGCATAATGCATTTTTATAAAGGGTCTTTCTGTTGTTAATTTGCCTGGGTAAGGAAGGATATAGTGAGTCTTTGAGAAATATTAATTAGATGTTTAAGGTATCTAATAATGGCACCTTACCAATAATTTTAGACAAATGATTTTATCTCTTGGTCACTCAGGTTTTCTGTTTTTGTTAAAAATGGGTTGAATTAATTAAGTTAATAAGGTGAATATAAAAAAATAAAAACAATAAATATTATTGTGCTGTTTCTAACTCACCAGGGGAGTGATGCTGAGGAAGGAGATTCAGAGTCTGAAATTGAAGATGAGACTTTTAATCCTTCAGAAGATGACTATGAAGAGGAAGAGGAGGACAGCGATGAAGATTATTCTTCAGAAGCAGAAGAATCAGGTTAGTCTTTACTGAGAAAAGTTTGTCATGGCTTCCTAATCTGATGTCATTTCTGAGAAGTTTTTTTTTGGAAAGGAAGAATTCTGTCATTTCATTCCATTCCTGCATAAGAACTAATGCTTAATTAATTTTATTTCAGACTATTCTAAGGAATCGTTGGGCAGTGAAGAAGAGAGTGGAAAGGATTGGGATGAACTGGAGGAAGAAGCCCGAAAAGGTTAAAAGAAATTTTGCTGTTGTTTTTATTTATTTTACTTATTCATTTATTTACATACAGATTTTCTAACATGTTTTAGTATTTTGAAGTGGTAGCCATAGTTGCCTAATGAGAGTAACAAAAGAACACTATAAAACTGATTTAGGCCGAGGTAGTGGCTCACTATGCTCAGCCTATAATCCTAGCACTCTGGGAGGCCGAGGCAGGAGGATTGCTCGAGGTCAGGAGTTCAAGACCAGCCTGAGCAAGAGCGAGACTCCGTCTCTACTATAAATAGAAATTATTTGACCAACTAATATGTATAGAAAAAATCAGCCGAGCATGGTGGCACATGCCTGTAGGCCGGGCTACTTGGGAGGCTGAGGCAGCAGGATTGCTTGAGCCCAGGAGTTTGAGGTTGCTGTGAGCTAGGCTGATGACATGGCACTCACTCTAGCCTGGGCAACAGGGTGAGACTCTGTCTCAAAAAAAAAAAAGTGTCAGAAGAAATGAGCTGACAACTAAAAATATATATGTAAAATTAACCAGGCATGGTGGTGCATGCCTGTAGTCCCAGCTACTCGGGAGGCTGAGCCCAGGAGTTTGAGGTTGCTGTGAGCTAGGCTTATGCCACGGCACTCTAGCCGGGACAAGAGACTCTGTCTCAAAAAAAAAAATTAATAAAAAACAAAACTGATTTGGAGCCATCGCTACAACTTAACTGAACAAAGAGAAAATGAGGTCTGCAATGTGTTCATACTTTCCAGTGGGCATGACTGTGCCTAACTGGATGCTTTATTCATCTGCCCAAATCCCTAGGTACTCATAGCCATGATAGCCACATAGTCATGTAAGAATCCAAACTTTGTCTATTTAGTTTCCAAATCTGCATCCTTTAATAGTCTTAACTTTCTCAGCCTCTTCCAGGTTAGGAATGTCTTTTTTTTTTTTTTCTTTTTCTTTTTTTTTTCTTTGAGACAGAGTCTCTCTCTGTTGCCCAGGCTAGAATGCTGTTGCATCAGCCTAGCTCACAGCAAACTCAAACTGCTAGGCTCAAGTGATCCTAGGATCAAGTGATCCAGGAGGCTGCCTCAGCCTCCCGATTAGCTGGTACTATAGGCACACTCCACCATGCCTGGCTAATTTTTTCTATTTTTAGTAGAGACAGGGTTTCCCTCTTGCTCAGGCTGGTTTCAAACTCCTGAACTCAAGCAATCCTTCCTCCTCAGCCTCCCAGAGTGCTAGGATTATAGGTGTGAGCCATCACTGGCCAGGAATGTCTTTATGATGCTAATCTAGTTACTCTGAAACCAAATCCCAAATATAAATTAAAAATGAAAAGGAAATATTTGTTATCTTCTATGTCTAAAACATTGTAATAAGTTCTTTAAATTATTCTTCCTTTTATAAATAAACCAGGGCTCAGAAAAGTTAAATATTTATCCAAGATCCAGTCTGACTCCGAAGTATATTCTCCCAGTAATATTAGGTACCTAAAGTTAATCTACAATTAACTAATAATGCCTCTTTCTTCTGTTTAGCGGACCGTGAAAGTCGTTATGAGGAAGAAGAAGAACAGAGTCGAAGTATGAGCCGGAAGAGGAAAGCATCTGTGCACAGTTCAGGCCGTGGCTCTAACCGTGGTTCCAGACACAGCTCTGCACCTCCCAAGAAAAAGAGGAAGTAACTTCTGAACTTTGGCCCTGAGCTCCATTCTTTCTGCAGCCAACCCCTGAAAATTTTACATGACATAGAAACTGTATTCTTCCTTTTGTTTTCTTTTGAAGTTTTGCCATTTGTGTTTATGGGTTTAGGGGGCCATTTGTGTGGACCAATCTACTGGGGAATTCCAGGCCCACCAGGACACGTGCTGATGGCCCCATTCAGATGGCAAGGGAGGAGGTGTTCTTGAAGACGGGCAGAGGCTCCCACTGTTAATAAATATCGTTTCATTCCTCTCTCTTCCTGTCAGCTTCTGCCAGGACATCGATGGCTTCTGACATCTTATTTTTTGGTGTCTCAAAGCTATATTTCCAAGACAATGGTACAAAGTGACCCTTATCTACCTGTACCATGGTTCTTGACCAGCAGATTGAATCCTCCATCCTACCCTACTGCCATGACCTTCCTCACATCTCTTTAAGTTTTCTCTTGGCAATACTCAAGAAAAGATTCTTGGAATTTGCTAATGAATGGTTGTGATAAACCATACAACTTAAGTTAGTGAGGCAATTTGGGCTGGTGCCTTCGTCTGAGTTTTCCTGTTTTCTTGACTCATGCAGATTCTGAGGTATTTCTGCTGCTTTGGAAGACATAAGAAACAGTGACACTCCTGGCTCGGTTATTTCTCCTTACAAATTCACACATGGTACAATGATATAAGGCAAAATTACCACTGTCTTTTTTTTTCTGATATATCTAAGGAAGAATGGTTGTGCCTCGTATACTGCTTCTAGTGAAATCTAGAGGAAGGCTCAAGGAGTCAACATTTAGGTCTGGAAAGGGCAAGTCATGCCTTGGGCCTAGAATACCTTGATGAGAAAAGAGAAGAGGAAGGGAGGCCATATCTACAACACAGCCTCTCATCACTGCTGCTCCTTATTTTTACTTGTCTTGCATTGTCCTGTATTTATCACAGTTTCTGTTGAACAGCTTTTTAAGTATTTGGGGAGTTTATCTTGCCATCCTCCCCTTCTGGTTCTCTGCACCCACCTGTCCCACTGCATTTCCTTCCGTGTTCCGTGACTTTAAAAGAAGGGGGGGGAGGGTTCTTGGATTTTATGTTTGTTTGTTTTTTCTCTTTAGCAGTAGGACTTGATATTTTCAATTTTGGAAGAACTAAAAGCTAAATAAACTGTGGGGTTTTTTTGTTGTTGTTTTGTTTTTATAAATTCACCTTTTTTGACTGTTCTCCAGTACTTGAAAGCAAGTCTTCTGTTCTTAGATATGTGGGGCAAAAATTAAAAAAAAAAAGAAAGAAAACAAGTCTGCTTCTCACCTGGTAAAGCACTAAGGTGTTAGAGAAAAATACCTTTATCCGGCTAGTCTTAAAAAAATTAACTTTCATCATTCTAAACTTTCATTGGTAGGTTCAGAGATACTAGACATCACAGTAAACCAAATTCATGGTATAGCAAGTTACTTTATAAGAGAATTTTTACTATGTTTCCCTCAGATTTTAGAATGGAATAACACTTGTTCCTTCATGAAAACAAATCCTCAGTCATCTCCTTGTAAATAGCATGGAGGGCAGCAGCTGCTTGAAGGGAAACCTTCAGCCTTCCTATTGGGGTAGCCTGGTCTTCAGGGCTAACAACTGTTGGGAAAGGAAAAGAATAGTGTCAGACAACAGCATCTTTCAGTTAAACTCTTTAATACCTGGTATGTGTTGGGTTAGATGCTGGTGATAGTAAATGAAGTCACTAGGCCATTTAATAAGGGGACTGAGTTAATGGAGGAGGAAGGAATATAGGGTCATTACAATATATTGTATAGATGCTATAACAAAAGCTTATGGTGCTTTGGGGACACAAAGGGGGACCTACACCAGAATGGAGAAATTGGAAAAGGGTTTCTGGAAATAATTCAAGAGCTAAGTCTTTAAAAATGTAGAAGTAGGCTGGGCGTGGTGGCTCACACCTGTAATCCTAGCACTCTTGGAGGCCGAGGCAGGCGGATCATTTGAGCTCAGGAGTTCAAGACCAGCCCTAAGCAAGAGCAAGACCCCATCTCTACTAAAAATAGAAACAAATTAATTGACCAACTAAAAATATAGAAAAAATTAGCCAGGCATGGTGGTACATGCCTGTAGTCCCAGCTACCCAGGAGGCTGAAGCAGAAGGATCACTTGAGCCCAGGAGTTTGAGGTTGCTGTGAGCTAGGCTGATGCCATAGCACTCTAGCCTGGGCAACAGAGTGAGACTCTGTCTTAAAAAAAAAGATATAAGAGTATGATGAGTTTGGAAAACTGCAAGAAATTTAGTTTCAACTGAAGATACTAGAAGTGGCTTTCTATGTGGGTTTTAGAAAGATGACTCCATTATTGGAGAATATATTCAAAGGGAGCACAGGTAAACTGGGAGAGGAGTTATAAGACTATTGTGGTAATTCCATGGGGAATGAAGGTCTGAAGTTTAACAGTAGGGGTGGAGAAATGGGGACAAATTCAAAACATTTAAGAGGTAAACTTAGAATTTTGTGATTGAATGTTGGGAGTGAGGAATAGGTTGGAATAAAGGATGACTATTCTAATTTGGATAACAAGATGAACAGTGGCTAAGAATATAAGATACATTGTAGCCTTTAATTCCTCTTGTGATATAAAAAAAATGAATAAAAAATAATTTAAAAAAAAAGAATATAAGGTACAAAGTTGTCATCAGGAGAGTTTGAGGTACCAACAGGACATCCAAGTAGTGATATCTATTAGTCTGTTGAAGTCTAGATTGTATTAAAAATCTGGTCTAGAAATTTGTGATTATTTCTAGACTATAATTAAAAGCCTATGAGTGAGCCAGGTGCAGTGGCTCTCGCCTGTAATCCTAGCACTCTGGGAGGCCAAGGCAGGAGGATAAGGTCAGGAGTTCAAAACCAGCCTGAGCAAGAGCGAGACCCCATCTCTACTAAAAAGAGAAAAATTAATTGGCCAACGAAAAATATATATAGAAAAAATTAGGAGGGCATGGTGGTGCATGCCTGTAGTCCCAGCTACTCGGGAGGCTAAGGCAGTAGGATGGCTTGAGCCCCGGAGTTTTGAGGTTTCTGTGAGCTAGGCTTGAGGTTTCTGTGAGCTAGGCTGACGCCATGGCACTCTAACCCAGGCAACAGAGTGAGACTCTGACTCAAAAAAAAAAAAAAAGCCTGAGAGTGGATACAATCACACAGGAAGAGGGTATGTGGAGGGAAAAAAAAAAAGACCAAGGATTGATTTAGGAGAATCCTACATTTAAAGGAATAGACAAGGAAAAGGAAACCTACAAAGGAAAAAAGACCACCCAAAGAGTGATATGGAGTCATAATGACCTAAAAAGCAAAGAAGAAGAAAATTTAAAAAGGGGAATGAGCAATGATACTGAAGTTTAGAAAGGTCAAGTAAGATGAATAATAAAACCAATTGTATTTGGCAATTAGAAAAACTGGTAACATGCAGTAAAGTGCTTGGAATGTAAAGGATCTTAATGAAAGAGTATCTGTGAAGTACAAAAGCAGTACTGTGGACTGATCACTGAGAAAGAATATCAAGGAGCTGAGTTTTAAAGCAGAGTTTTGTTTTTGAAATCAGACCAACATGGATAAAGCCTGTGTGTAAGGGAGGCCATAATAAGGAAATCACTATAAATTTTTTTGATGATTAAGAATAAAACTTGAGAAGCATTCATTGGCTTTGGAGATTTTGAAGTCACTAAAGAAAGCTTAAGGTGGTTTTCCTTATATATAAAGGGCATGGAGGTCAAGAAGAGCACGGAATGTTTAGGGATGGGAACAGAACTAGAAATTGGGAGTGAGCTGGAAAATGGCTGGCACAGGTAACATCACTTGCCACATGCCAGGCTCTGTCCTAAGCCTTTAATCCTTTCTTCATCCCTTATTTAACTGTTCCCTTAGTCTTCACAACAATCCTAGAGGATAGGGACTGCTATTATCCCCATTTTAGAGTTGAGGAAACAGGCACAGAGAGGTTAAATAACTATCAAGATCAGCTGGAAAGATACTAGAGGAATATAATGAATCGCTAAAATTTGAGCTTTTTTTGTTTTTGAGACAAAGTCTCAACTCTGCTGCCCAGGCTAGAGTGCCATGGCATCAGCCTAGCTCACAACAACCTCAAACTCCTGGGCTCAGTGATCCTTCTGCCTCAGCCTCCTGAGTAGCTGGGACTACAGGCATGTGCCACCATGCCCAGCTAATTTTTTCTATTTATATTTTTAGTTGGCCAATTAATTTGTTTCTATTTTTAGTAGAGACGAGGTCTTGCTCTTGCTCAAGCTGGCTTTGAACTCCTGACCTTGAGCAATCCACCTGCTTCGGCCTCCCAGAGTGCTAGGATTACAGGCGTGAGCCACCCCGCCTGGCCCATAACATTTGAACTTTTTAACACTTGGTTTGAGAAGTATTTCTCAAAAACATTTTATTGTGATCACTAAGCAATTTTATAGTTTGATTCATTAAACAACTGTACATAAAACAAGTTTCACAAAACAATATGTGCAATGTGCTGATATTTTCTTTTCCATAGTTTGCTTTTTTTCAAATTCTCATGACTTGCTAATTTAATTTCACTATCCACTAATGGGTTGATGAAACATTGGTCTAGTGGATAATTTTAAATGCCCAATAGATCCTAGCAGATAAGACAGGTAAAGTCCAGAGTATGTAAGGTAATGAGAGCAGTGAGGACTGGACAAAGCAGTGTTAAGGGAGCAGGAGTAGAACTAAAAAATCAAGCTCTTAGAAGCACAGCTAAACCTGATTAACCTGAAAAGAAGGAATTACTGAAAAGGATACATTCTAAAGGCGTTTAAATGCAAATATTTTTAAAGCATGCTGATATATAGCAAACTAGAAGGATTTAAGAAGAATGCAATGATTAAATTTATTATGTAGAAACATTTACTGTAGTAGACGGAAATGGGGTGGCAGAAACCAGTGTTAAGGAGACCAGTTTAGAAAACAATTACATTTCCACAGACCCATTCAGTCTTAAAAAAAAAAAAAAAACAATTACAGTAGTGAGGATGTAGTCAAAATATAAGCAGAATGTCTAAGACTTGGTGACCAATGAATATAAGGGAAGAGAAAGGAGTTGGTGTTTGTATAAGAGACTGAGTGCATGATAACACATCAATAGAGATGGAGTATTAACTGCCTTTACAAACCTTTTATGCTCAAGAAAGGTCAGAAATTCTGATGTTTAAATTTGATTGAAATGAAAAGATCTTATCTTTTAAAAAATTCCCTATCTCAAACATTAGAGATTCAAAAACAAAGTCTAGTTGTATATGGGGGCTAAAATATACAACTGAATGCTTTCATGTCGGATCCAGAAATAAATACAGCTATAAGGATAAGATTTCAATTTAGTTTGTGTCTCACCAATTTCACAGTGATAATTATGTATTGAAGGTAAACAGAAAAAGTACTCATTATTAGAATGATTTCCATAGAAGTAAATGGAACTGAGAAGCACAAAAATTTATTACTCACTATCTAGCTCTTGCTCTAGAATATCTCTTCCTGATTCCAGGATCTGCCATAGTTCAAGATATGCATATCCTACTTCTTGACATTCTTTCTTTTCCTCATCCATAGGATCACTTACGACTGTAAACTTTAAACTAAAAAGAAAGGAAAAGAAATATTCCATTTAACTTGGCACTGTAAATACTCTTATGCTTTAAAAATAAAATAAGGATAAAAGTAATCATAAAGGATACTGTGCTTCCTCTTGTGAACTAAAATAAAATCTTAAGGCTTACCCCACACACACACACTGGCTGACTGAATGGAGCCCCCCCTGGCTAAGGGGATATCCTAAAACTAAATTGCCTGCCACAAGGAGGGAGGTCAGATAGACCTCATCATGCCCCCCTCCCTTCTTGGAGACATCCTTTGTAACCCGTTAACAGGCCTAAGGCTATGCAAGACAAACCTGTAGGTCCTCAATTTACACAGCAAATATATGTCCCATGGCTTCTCTCTGATTAATAGCTCATTATCGTAATACATTCCAACCCTTTAGACAAAGCTTCATATCTCTAACCAATTACAAGTCAAAGAATCTTCAAACCACCTATAACCTGTAAGCACCTCCCCTTCAAGATGGCCCACCTTTTTAGGCCAAACCAATGTATGCATTCCACATATTGATTTATCACTTTATCTGTAACCCCTGTCTCCCTGAAATGTATAAAACCAAACTGTAACCCAGCAATACCAAGTCCACTTGCTCAAGGCTTCTTGGGTGTGGCTCGGGTCATGGTCCTCAAATTTGGCTCTGAATAAATCTCTTTAAAACTCTTTTACAGGCCAGGCATGATGGCTCACACCTGTAATCCTAGCACTCTGGAAGGCCGAGGCGGGAGGATTGCTCAAGGTCAGGAGTTGGAAACCAGCCTGAGCAAGAGCGACACCCCATCTCTACTAAAAATAGAAAGAAATTAATTGGATAACTAAAAATATATAGAAAAAATTAGCCGGGCATGGTGGCGCATGCCTGTAGTCCCAGCTACTTGGGAGACTGAGGCAAGAGGATCGCCTGAGCCCAGGAGTTTGAGGTTGCTGTGAGCTAGGCTGATACCACAGCACTCTAGCAGGGGCAATAGAGTGAGACTCTGTCTCAAAAAAATTTATATATATATATATATTTTTTTTTTCATATATATATAATAAAATTATTTTACAGTTTGGCTTTTTTTTTGTTAACACTCTGAATCACCTTTCCCTTGCTTCCATTTACAAGTCATTAACAAGTAAAAGAGTGAGGAATCAGTGTAATTTAACTACCAACAGGTCTTCTGGAAGTTGAGAGAGAAGCGAGGGTGACATGGTAGCTGCCACTGCAGCCACCTTGGGATAATAAGCCAGGATCTGCCATACCTATTAATTAACTATGGAGGATTATACCAAAATAGAGAAAATTGGAGAAGGTACCTATGGAGTTGTGTATAAGGGTAGACACAAAACTACAGGCCAAGTGGTAGCCATGAAGAAAATCAGACTAGAAAGTGAAGAGGAAGGGGTTCTTGGTACTGCAATTCGGGAAATTTCTCTATTAAAAGAACTTTGTCATCCAAATATAGTCAGTCTTCAAAATGTGCTTATGCAGGATTCCAGGTTGTATCTCATCTTTGAATTTCTTTTCATGGACTCAAGAAATATTTGGATTCTATCCCTCCTGGTCAGTTCATGGATTCTAAACTTGTTAAGAGTTACTTATACCAAATCCTACAGGGGACTGTTTTGTCACTCTAGAAGAGTTCTTCACAGAGACTTAAAACCTCAAAATCTATTGATTGATGACAAAGGAACAATTAAACTGGCTAATTTTGGCCTTGCCAGAGCTTTTGGAATACCTATTAGAGTATATACACATGAGGTAGTAACGCTCTGGTACAGATCCCCAGAAGTATTGCTGGGGTCAGCTCATTACTCGACTCCAGTTGACATTTGAAGTATAGGCACCATATTTGCAGAATTAGCAACTAAGAAACCACTTTTCCATGGGGATTCAGAAACTGATCAACTCTTCAGGATTTTCAGAGTTTTGGGCATACCCAACAATGAAGTGTGGCCAGACGTGGAATCTTTACAGGACTATAAGAATACATTTCCCAAGTGGAAACCAGGAAGCCTGGCATCCTATGTCAAAAACGTGGATGAAAATGGCTTAGATTTGCTCTCGAAAAGGTTACTCTATGATCCTGCCAAACGAATTTCTGGCAAGATGGCACTGAATCATCCATATTTTAATGATTTGGACAATCAGATTAAGAAGATGTAGCTTTTTGATAAAAAGTTTCCACATTATATCCAGAACAGATGGTTGTATTTTTTACTGTTAACTCTGTCTGTTTTTGTCTTGTATATTTTTCTTCTCTTTGTTGTAAAACTTAAGCTATACTTCATCTTCTAATTTCAAAAGTATAACTTAAAAATGTAAATATTCTATATGAATTTAAATATCTGTATATGTGTGTAGATCTCACTGTGACAAATATTTGTTTCTATAATAAAACTATAAATCTAAGTACCAACAGGCCTTTAGAAGAAGGAGCTAGGACACTTGAGACAATGTAGTTGATCAAGTTGTCTCAAAACTGTCAAGATAAAATTTCTACTAAGATGGTTTTAAATTTTGTTGAAGGCCGGGCATGGTGGCTCACGCCTGTAATCCCAACACTCTGGGATGCTGAGGCAGGCGGATTTCTTGAGGTCAGGAGTTCGAAACCAGCCTGAGCAAGAGTGAGACCCCATCTCTACTAAAAATGAAAAAAAAAATTAATTGGCCAACTAATATATATAGAAAAAATTAGCCGGGCATGGTGGCGTATGCCTGCAGTCCTAGCTATTCGGGAGTCTGAGGCAGCAGGATTGCTTGAGCCCAGGAGTTTGAGGTTGCTGTGAGCTAGGCTGACACCACAGCACTCACTCTTAGCCTGGGCAACAGAGTGAGACTCTGTCTCAAAAATAAAAAAAAATTAAAAATTAAAATAAATAAATAAATAAAATGTTGTTGAAATATTTTTATATGGGCAGTGAAAGTGTTGCATAAAATACCCAGGATTATGGAAGTTAGAAGGAGAGGTTTAAAATTTCTGAATAAAAGTTGGGTACCAAGCCAGAACAGAGTAAAGGAAGCATAAGGAATACAGAATTGCAAAACAAGTATATAAAATATATTCTTTAGAGTTGTGAGTCTTTTTTTGTTTTTTTTGAGACAGAGTCTCACTTCCTTGCCCAGGCTAGAATGAGTGCTGTAGCATCAGCCTAGCTCACAGCAACCTCAAAATCCTAGGCTCAAGCAATCCTGCTGCCTCAGCCTCCCGAGTAGCTGGGACTACAGGCATGTGCCACCATGCACTGCTAATTTTTTCCATATATATATATTAGTTAGCCAATTAATTTATTTCTATTTATAGTGGAGATGGGATCTCCCTCTTGCTCAGAGCTGGTTTCGAACTCCTGACGTCGAGCAATCCGCCCGCCTTGGCCTCCCAGAGTGCTAGGATTACAGGCGTGAGCCACCGGACTGGCCAAGTTGTGAGTCTTGAAAGACAATGCTATAAAGCATGCAGCACAGTGCCCCAAAAGCAGTGAGCAGTCTAGTCTATGACAGTTAGTATTATGTTGACTTAGCTAGCAAATGATATTGAATTCTAGAAACTGGTACAATTTATAACAATCCTATTTAAATTTTTTAGATAAAAGTAATGTAACATAAAATTCACAATTTTAACCATTTTAAAGTACAGCATTCAGTGTTTTTCGGTATAACCACAATGTTGTGCAACCATCACCACTATCTAATTCCAGAACATATCATCACTCTAAAAAAGAAACACTGCACTGACTCAACAGTCACTCCCCACTCTCCTCTTCCCCAGCTCCTGGCAACCATTAATCTACTCTCTTTCTCTCTGGATTTGCCTATTCTGGACTCTTCATATTTCTATTAATTTTCAAAAAGCAAATGTTAGTGGCTAAATAGAGTTGCTGAGGAAGCAAGAATAGGACTAAAAATTCAAGCTCTTCGAAGCACAACTAAACCCGATTAACCTGAAAAGAAGGAATTACTGAAAAGGATACATTCTCAGCCCATTAAGCAATATTCAGTTGTGATTATGTTTCTGTGTCATTACTGAGAACTTCAACAATGCAAAGGATACTACTGACTCCCCCACCTCAATTTTCCCCAGAAAGGGATGGTAACTGAAATTGCGATATGCCAGACACAATACCAAATGCTTTACGTAAACTATGTTATCTCAGTTTTATTCTCACAGGAGTCTTCAAATTAAGTAATATCACAAAGATCACAGTCGTAATAAGTGAAAGAGTCAGGATTCAAAACCAGGCCTGCCTGATTACAAAGCCAGTGTCCTGTCTGCTATACCACACTGGCAAAAAGAAAGTCAAATGTAAAATCAATTGAAATCTAAAATTGAGTAGAAAAAGATTAACACTGTTAGAGAATAAAGGAAGAGATAATTCTAGGAACATTGTGGGGGGAAAAAAGCAAAAGATTAAAACACCAGCTCCGTATCATTTCTTACCCATACACATACAGAAGAGGCAGGGTTGCTAGAGTTTAAAAAGCAAACCACAACCATATGCCCATTTAAATTTGAATTTCAACTAAACAACAAATAATTTTTTAGTATAAGCATGTCCCATCCATTTAATCTGAGAACAGTTAAAAAGAGGCCTTCTCAGATTATAGAAATAACAAGGAAAATAAACTTTTTTAAAACTTTAAAGGAGACCTAGAATTTCCTTAGTTATATCAAAATCAAAATATTCCTGTAAAGAAACAATTTTAAAAATCTAAATATAAAACTTGGCCAGGCGCGGTGGCTCACACCTGTAATCCTAGCACTCTGGGAGGCCGAGGCAGGTGGATTGCTCAAGGTCAGGAGTTTGAAACCAGCCTGAGCAAGAGTGAGACCCCGTCTCTACTATAAATAGAAAGAAATTAATTGGCCAACTAATATATATAGAAAAAAATTAGCCGGGCATGGTGGCGCATGCCTGTAGTCCCAGCTACTTGGGAGGCTGAGGCAGGAGGATCGCTTGAGCCCAGGAGTTTGAGGTTGCTGTGAGCTAGGCTGACCCCATGGCACTCAGTCTAGCCTAGGCAACAAAGTGAGACTCTGTCTCAAAAAAAAAAAAAAAAAATTAACATTATAAGGGCATACTGTTTGGTAAGCTAGCAATAGCACTTCATGTGTGAGAAATTAATCAAATTATCTTTGAATATCATAGCATTTTGTTCATTCCATTTGGTCACTGTCAATATTCAAGTAAGTTGTTGCCACAAAAAAAAATGTGCCCATTAGGGGCCAGCAGAGGTGAGAAATGAACTAAACCTATGAGATCAAATAATTAGTCAGGTAGTCACAAGCATATTAATATAAATTAGATAGGTAGATGGGAAATTCTCTAAAAGTAAATTAACTTGAAAGAAGTTATTAAAATATTCAGCATCAGCACAAAATGAAACTCAAACTTCTGGCTGGGTGTGGTGGCTCATGCCTGTAATCCTAGCCCTCTGGGAGACCCAGACGGGAGGATTGCTCAAGGTCAGGAGTTCAAAACCAGCCTGAGTAAGAGCAAGACCCTGTTCTCTACTATAAATAGAAAGAAATTAATTGGCCAACTAATATATATAGAAAAAAATTAGCCGGGCATGGTGGCGCATGCCTGTAGTCCCAGCTACTCGGGAGGCTGAGGCAGGAGGATTGCTTGAGCCCAGGAGTGTGAGGTTGCTGTGAGCTAGGCTGACGCCACGGCACTCACTCTAGCCTGGGCAACAGAGTGAGACTCTGTCTCAAAAAAAAAAAAAAAAAAAAAGAAAAAAAGAAAGCAGATGCTTACCATCCTTGCTCAGGATCTTCTCCATTCAGCATGGTAAACAGAAATTGCCTTCGGCCTTGTTGCTCCAGTGGGTCCAGGTCTATCGCTGTATTATGGGTAAGAGAAAAGAGCAAAAAATCATATGCTGTTGTCATTTGGGCACTAAGACTTTAATAAGTGCTACAGGTAAAACAGTGATATAAAGCAGAGGTGGGCAAACCAGGGCCTATGGGCTGTCTGCCTGTTTCTGTAAATAAAGTTTTATTGAACAGAACTATGCCAATTTGTTTCTATATTGTCTATGGTTGTTTTCGAACTACAATGGGAGGATTGAATAGTTGTGACAGAGACTGTATGGCCCATAAAGCCTAAACTATTTACTATCTGACAAAAGAAAAAGTTTGTGGTCCCCAATACAAAGGAAGCATTATAATCTGTATTGAAAGCTGTTCTGCCATATGTCAAAATAAATGTGCTCTCACCACTTCACAGCTGGAAGAAATTCTAGGACACTGATTCTATAGGGCCACCTGGAGATTTGGGTTTTGTGGTAGGTTCAAGTAAAAGCACCTATGTCAACATTTATTCTCTGCTTCCTCCTCAATTTTTTAAAAAATAAATTTGCCCTGAGAGATCTCTTCATTTTTATATGGGAATGCTGCAGCGTCAAATAAACTAGCCTGCATTTTCCAGTTTCCATCTTATCTAGATAACGGCTATCTGATTAACTTCTCTTCATTGTGTTGTGTGAAATCTTTGTGAAGACTGCTTAAAAGGCTGAGGTGGGAGGCATCCTTTTCCCCAGCAGCCAGTAAGAAACTTGGGGCAACCAAAAAGATGGAAGGCAGGCACTAGGATGATGGAAAGCAAGATAGGGATTTGGATCCCTAATGGTAATCACATAACCTCAGCCATCTCTAGACTTGTTTTACGTAAGTGAGGAATTTCTATTTTGTATGATACAAGGATAGGGTATAGAAAGAAAAGAAACAAAGAGCTCTTAGAAATTAAAAATAAATATTCTGTCAATGGAAGATAAAATCAAGGAAATCTCTCAAGACAGAAAGAAAAAAACAGAGGTAGAATTATAAGAGGTAAATGATAAGAAAATTAGAGGATAAATTTAAAAGATCCAATATTCTACTAAGAAAATGATAAAATATTGGGGACACAATTATTAAATGTGAAATACAATAAAATTTCTCAGTACTAAAAGCCATGTCTTTCTAGATATGGAGGTAAATACTGGAAGACACACCTGGAAAAGTTAAAAGTGGTTGTGGTGGACTGAGGCAGGGGCTGGGGGTGGGGAAGAGATTTGTGGAGAAGAGGTGGAGCAAAGCACTGCTTAATTTTAAAATCTTTTTAGGCCCATTTGATATTTTTAACTATATGTATGTATGAATTTGATAAATCAAATTATAAAATAAAACAGTTGGATCTACCCCATCAACAAAAATCCAGCATAGTTCTGACCCTCAGTATAAATGTTTGTCACCCTCCCCTCTCCCCACTGGCCACACAGGAAGCCTCACCCTTGCTAAAATGGAAGTGAATTTCTTCTCCTGCCCTCGGTTTCCTCAGGGATACTGGAGTCTCTGTCTCTGACAAAGGTAGATCGTAGAATTTGTACTCCACATACACCTGTTTTACATTCTCATCAGACATCACTTCAGCCTCTGGGTAGAAGGCCAGGGAGACAATTTCAATGCACATCTTCTCTGAACCCTAATAAGGAAAATGATTATTTATTTCCTAAAAGTTAGTGAGGCTCTAACTGCTTATATTTCATGCAATTAACACATTATAGTGCTCACTAGAAACCAAACATAGGCATATTCCATCTCATATATTACTCCCTGAGATTCAATTTTTGGTAAAGCTGGCACCAAAAGACAACTTGATTCAATTGCCAAAGCTAATCTGTGGGAAATGTGTAAAGAGAACCCAGTTGTTCTCTTTCCCTGCCTAGTGAATCATGTCTCTGGGTCAGCCTTCCTCAGCCATCTCCACATACAGAAAAAAAAAATCAAGAACATTGCTGAACAGATAGCTTTTTCTCAACTTTCTCAATGAAAACCAATCCAGCATTTTCCTGAGGTTAAGAGCGGAAAGACCTGCTGATTAATAGTGGAGATTTAGTAGCTGCGTCAACTACCATAGCAAAGAGCTGCCCAGCGCTTCCTGTGCCATCTAAGTGCATGCCACAGAGGAGACCACCAGACGCCCCTGCCCTTCCACAGGAACTCCAATACTTTCAACTCTACTTTAAGAGTCGCTGCCACCACCAGTGTCCTCTCTTTTGATTGTCCCTGTGTCCATGTGGGCATTAGGGATACCAGTAGGAAGCCTGAAAGCTTTCTAGTTTCCAGAAGTACACTGAAACCAGTATAAGTCCCCTCCTTCCATAGTGTGGTAGTAAGTCAGAGTCACAACATGAGTTCTGAGTCAATCCACAATGGTCCCCTCCCAGCCACTGTTCTCCTTTCCATCTGGGAATGCCCTCCTGGCTGATGCTGCTTTCCTCCAGGTTGCCAGACCAATGCCTTCACTTCCCCAAAGACATGCCCCCACCCTATCTTTTCTTCTCTTAGAAAGCAAGTGGAGCTCCTGTACCTTCTCCCAAGAAATTCAACAGGCAAGATCTCTCAACAATTCTGCATCAGAATCACTTGGGGTGCTTCTTAAAAATGAAGACATTTGCTGTTTTTCTCTCAATAACCCCCATGTAACCCTCCCAGCAACATCCATCAAGCAAACCACTGACTCTATACATTATCTTCCAAAATGTGGGTTTTTGACATTTTGATGGGTCAGCTTAGTGCATTTTACTAACACTTTTTTAAAAGGACTAGTCAAGTGCAGTAGTGAGAAGGCGGGAAAGTAGTAGAACAAGGAATTCAATCTGTAACTGATATTAGCACTTTTTTAATGAAAGAAAAAAAATAGAATAGGGTTAGAATAGAATAGTGCATGGCAAATGTTAAGGGTAAGCCTGGTTTCTTGAAACTTTTGTTATTTTTATGAGTGCATTGGGAACTATAGAAATGTATTTCTTAAAGTGATTGGCATTTAAAAAGTATGAAAGCCCCTGTTATATCAGACTGCCTAGGGTGGCTCCTGAAAACCTGCATTTAACTTTTAAATATTTAATTATAATTGACATACAGTAAAATGAAAAGAACTTAAGTGTATACAGTTTATTCAAGATATAGAACATTTCCACATCCCAGAAAGTTATCTCATGCCACTTAGCAATTATTATTATTATTATTATTTGAGTCAGAGTCTCACTCTGTTGCCCGGCTAGAGTGCCGTGGCATCACCTGGGCTCAAGCGATCCTACTGTCTCAGCCGCTCGATTAGCTAGGACTACAGGCATGCACCACCATGCCCAGCTAATTTTTTCTATATATATTAGTTGGCCACTTAATTTCTTTCTATTTATAGTAGAGATGGGGTCTCACTCTTGCTCAGGCTGGTTTCAAACTCCCGACCTCAAGCAATCCGCCCGCCTCGGCCTCCCAAAGAGCTAGGATTACAGGCTTGAGCCAATCTCGCCCGGTCTTCAAATAGATCTTAATCTTTCATTCAGTCACTCATTCAACAGAAATTTATTGCACATCTTTATTTTATTTTATTATTTTTTTTATTTTTTGAGACAGTGTCTCACTTTGTTGCCCAGGCTAGAGCGTGTGCCAGGGCGTCAGCCTCGCTCACAGCAACCTCAATCTCCTGGGCTCAAGCGATCCTCCTGCCTCAGCCTCCCGAGTAGCTGGGACTACAGGCATGCGCCACCATGCCCGGCCAATTTTTTGTATATATATTTTTAGTTGGTCAATTAATTTCTTTCTATTTTTGGTAGAGACGGGGTCTCGCTCAGGCTGGTTTCGAACTCCTGACCTTGAGCAATCCGTCCGCCTCGGCCTCCCAAAGTGCTAGGATTACAGGCGTGAGCCACCGCGCCCGGCCATATTGCACACCTTTAAATGTACTAGATAGCAGTGGTTCAAAAGAGTGATTCTTTTCTACTGCATTTGTAATTCCACAAGATTCTAATACAATGATTATTGAATGTATCTGTGGATATTTAGTAATGTGTGTGTCCTCAATTACTTCCAAAAGAGATTCAAGGCTGAAATGTTTAACAAATAACTACAGGTTGGGTCAAAAACTGCAGAAATTCAGTGATCTCTCTGAGCCCTCCCATGAAGAAACCCTTCCTCTTTTCCAACCTCCGCCTCCCAAAGTAAACATGCTTTTCTTAGGTGGATTTAAAAACAGGGCACATCATTCAGGCTGTGCATTAATCACAGTACACAATGAATGATACGGGAGCAAGAGGTAGGCAAGGGATCCAGATAAGAGAGAGTAGTGTTGAAGCAAGTTATCATTTACACCAAATCAAAAAATGATCCTTTTATCTGAATCTGACTGTATTAACAGACTCTCATACACATGAAATGTAAATTTAACTATAGCTTCCATTTTCCATCAGATTCATTAAAACTGGACTGGAGGCCAGGCGCGGTGGCTCACATCTGTAATCCTAGCACTCTGGGAGGCCGAGGTGGGCGGATTGCTCGAGGTCAGGAGTTCGAAACCAGCCTGAGCAAGAGCGAGACCCAGTCTCTACTATAAATAGAAAGAAATTAATTGGCCAAGTAGTACATATAGAAAAAATTAGCCGAGCATGGTGGCACATGCCTGTAGTCCCAGCTACTCGGGAGGCTGAGGCAGGAGGATTGCTTGAGCCCAGGAGTTTGAGGTTGCTGTGAGTTAGGCTGATGCCACGGCACTCACTCTAGCCCTGACAACAAAGTGAGACTCTGTCTCAAAAAAAAAAACTGGACTGGAATTTCACATATGTGGCCACTAAGCACACAGTCATTATTTACATTGTCTCACATGCAATCATTACTTCATTGTACTTACTGCCTTAGGATATTTCTGAGACACAGGTGTCACTATGTCATCACTGTCTGTAGTTTGTGCTTCACTAACTTCAGAAGCCTGTTCACAGGATTCTTTACCTGCCAGAGAAGAGGTTGGAGTTACAGAACTATTTCAAAGCACTCTGTTTGGTCCAAGAAAAGACCCAGTACCCACATCTCCAATCCACTGTCTGATCACTAGTTCTAGGTATCTAGATTTTTTTCTTCACTCACTAAGAATCAAACTCTCTTTTTCAAAAATTCACTTATTTGGAAGCTTGCTAAACATCGAGGGTTCACTTGGGAAAAAAAAAAAAGAAGGAAAAACAGAAAGGAGGAAGGAAGGATGGGACGAAGGAAGGCAGGAAGGCAGGAAGGAAAGAAGGAAGTCCTCTTGGAGGGGCTAAAGAAAATGACCAAGCCAAGGAAAAGCAGTGCAATTGTGTGTGACAGACCGTATTTTCCAAAGACGGCCTCAAATAATCTCTCCCATCCCACATGCTTTTCTCACAATGTGACCTCAATACTCCTATTGAGTGGTGGGGTACATGTCCCTTCCCACTTCAATTGAGATGCCTCTTTGTGACTGCCTCAACCAAAAGATTATGGTAGGAATGATGCTATGTGACTTTTAAGACTAGAACACAAAAATGCCATGCACATGCCCCTTGTTCTTTTGGAACCCAGCCACCAAGCTGTGAGGAAGCCCAAGCAACCTGCAGAGGGCCCACATGCAGAGGAGCTGAGACCATGGCCCACAGCCACTGCTGAGCTCCCAACTGACAGCTGAGACCAACTTGCCAGCCACTAGAGTGAGCCATCTTGCGAGTTAAACCCATCAGCTCCCCAGCTGAGCTGCCCCATCTGCTATATGGAGGAGAAATGAGCTTCCTCAAGAGACCTACATAAATTGCAGATCCGTGAGAAAAAGAAATGACTATTGTTGTTTTAAGCCACTAAGTTTGGGGGCAGATTGATTGGTCCATGGCAATAGATAACTGGAAGACAGGCTGTGCCTACTGCATAAAATTTCAAAGTCCTGAGGCTGTCTATTCCACTGAGGTCTCAGAGAGAAAAGGTCTGAGAAGACATGGGGCAGCAAAAGCAAAGTCTGCTAAATGGCACAAGGATTGTCTACATATGTGGAAATGGCTTTAAAGTCAATCTCTTTCCTTTTTTGGTGGCCTTTATCTAATGACCTGGTAAATCTTTGTCTAAAAGATTAACAAGGCCCTTTTTCCAATAACCACAGCATCTTGCCTCTGTCACCCCTACTCAGACATCTGGGACCAGGCAGATTCCAGTTTTTTGTGCCTACTAACTGGTGGTCTTGATCTTTTGAAACTCATGGAAAAGAGTGATACTAAAACAATAACTAATAATTTGGCTTCCAAAGAAACAGTCTTCTTTTCTTATTTATGACTATAAATAGATGACCATGTACAAGTACATGATTTCTAGATTACCTCCTTGTTCTACATCTTACATTCTACATACAGAAAAAGTCAGTGGATATAGGTCATACTCAGTCAAATACTTGAAGAAATGTAAACTGGGAACATGGAGATTATTGCAACCTGCATTCAGATCTGGATCTGAATCTTTCTACGTACATCATTACTATTTATACTATTAGTTAAAGATTAAATAATATTCCAGCTACTCAGGAGGCTAAGGCAGAAGGATTACTTGACCCCAGCAGTTCAAGGTTGTGAGTTATGATCGTGCCACTGCACTCAAGCCTGGGCAGCCCTGTCTCGAGAAAATAAATAAATGAATCATATTCCACTGTCTACTAATTTTAAGAATGGAAATGTTCTCTTATTTATTTATTTTTTTTTTTGAGACAGAGTCTCACTCTGTTGTCCAGGCTAGAGTGAATGCTGTGGCATCAGCCTAGCTCACAGCAACCTCAAACTCCTGGGCCCAAGCAATCCTCCTGCCTCAGCGTCCCAAGTAGCTGGGACTATAGGCATGTGCCACCATGCCCGGCAAATTTTTTCCTCTATATATTAGTTGGCCAATTAATTTCTTTCTATTTATAGTAGAGACGGGGGTCTCGCTCTTGCTCAGGCTGGTTTTGAACTCCTGACCTTGAGCAATCCGCCCACCTCAGCCTCCCAGAGTGCTAGGATTACAGGCGTGAGCCACCACGCCCAGCCAGAAATGTTCTCTTATAACCAGAATTTCTTGCCTTCATGTAAATTAGACCCTGGGGAGATTTGGGTTTGATTATTCCTGTCAACCTTCCTTACATTGAGTATCCTTTGATGGAAAAATAAGATTACATAATAAATAGAATACTTTCTCCTTCTCATGAGAAAAGTCATTTAATGCTCTTTCCATTTGAGAAGTTATGCCAAATACATTTAAAAGCCCCCAAACTATACTTTTAAATATTTTTAAAAGACACCCTTTTCAGTAGTAAATGGAAAAAAAATTTTTTACAATATTTCAGTATCACCCTTTATATTTTTCCTCTTTATTAATTTTTTCAAGCATATAAAAAGTACACAAAATATAAATGTTCAGTCTATCAAATTATTATAAAATGAACATCTGTATAACCAGCCAGCCAAGAAATGGAACGCTGCCAACACTCCAGATGCCCAATGGGTGCCCTTTCTTAATGGTAACCCTCTCCCTCCTCCTCTAGAAGTAACTGCTATTCTGACTAGAGTCAGAACTAGAATAAGCACTCTGGGGGCCGAAGCGGGAGGATCCTTTGAGCTCACAAGTTCGAAACCAGCCTGAGCAAGAGTGAGACCCCATCTCTACTAAAAATAGAAAGAAATTAGCTGGACAACTAAAAATATATATAGAAAAAATTAGCTGGGCATGGTGGCACATGCCTGTAGTCCCAGCTACTCTGGAGGCTGAGCAGAAGGATTGCTTGAGCCCAGGACTTTGAGGTTGCTGTGAGCTAGGCTGACACCATGGCACTCTAGCCATGGCAACAGAGTGAGATTCTGTTTCAAAAAAAAAAAACAAAACAAAGAACTAGAATAAAGCATTTGAGGCACTGACCCCAGGCACAATATTTGAGCGAGTGCCAAAATACTCAGTAATTGAGACAAATACTATTTTAATACAATATTTTACAAAATCAAAATTAGTGCAAAAATCCATAATGAACAAAATGTCAAATGTTTAAATAAAGATAGTCTAACTTTATTGAAATTCACTACATTGCTTTGCTTTGTGTTTTTCCCACTGAATTGAGTTATGCATCTCTAAACATTATAATTTAGATTTGTCTGTTTTTGAAATCTCTATAAATAGAATCATACATTATGTATTCTGTGTATGTTTGGCTTCTTTCACTGCAATTATATTTTTAAGAAGCATTTCCGTGAATATACACAAATAAATAATAAATGAAAAAAAAATTTTTTTTTTTTGAGACAGAGTCTCACTCTGTTGCCCTGGCTATAGTGCCATGGTGTAAGCCTAGCTCACAGCAACCTCAAACTCCTGGGCTCAAGCCATCCTCCTGTTTCAGCCTCCTGAGTAGCTGGGACTACAGGCATGCACCACCATGCCCGGCTAATTTTTCTATATATTTTTAGTTGGCCAGTTAATTTCCTTCTATTTTTTTAGTAGAGATGGGGTCTTGCTCTTGCTCAGGCTGGTTTCAAACTCCTGACCTTGATTGATCCTCCCGCCTCAGCCACCCAGAGTGCTAAGATTATAGGCATGAGCCACTGTGCCCAGCTGAAAAAAATTTTTAAATGAAGCAACCATATTGTTGTAAGTGGCTATAGATTTTTTTGTTTTTCTTCTTGTACAGTATTTTACTATATGAATATACCATAATTTACTTATCTAGTCTACTGCTGATGGACATTTGTGTTGCTTATACTGCTTTGCTCTAAAGAGCAAATATCATTATATATATAAGCACATATGCCTAGGAATAAAATTGCTGGGTCATAGGGAATACATATAATCAATTTAACTAGCTAATAAAGTTTGCCAAATTAGTTGCATAGATTTACATTCCTGTCACCAGTGTGAGAGAGTTCCTCTTGATGCATATCCTCACCAGTGCCACTTTTTAATTTCTGCCAATCTGGTAAGTCTGTAGTAGTCTCTCATTTTTGGTGCAACTTGCATTTTTTTGATTAATTAAACATGTTGAACATCTTTAATATTTTTACTGGACATTTGACTTTCCTTTTTGTAGAGTGCGTTTCAAATCTTTTGCCCACTTTTCCGTTGGGCTGTCTCTTTCCTTTTGATTTGTAAAAGTTCTGTGTATTTTCTGAAGTTGAATCCTTTGGTGGTTATATATGTTGTATCTCTTCCACTCTGTAGCTTGCCTGTTTAAGCTCTTGATGAATAGAAATGCTTATGTTTTTTTTTCAGTTCTTTACTGAAAAGACTTGGAAAGAAATTATTAATTTAAAGGTAGTCAACTTTATCACTATTTTCCTTTGGATTAGTTCATTTTGTTTCTTATTTAAGAAATTTTTCCTTACTCTGGAAGATGAATAATGCTGCTATGAATACTTCACTATAAGTCTTTGGGTGGACAAATGTTTTCACTTGGGTAGATACTTAATTTTTTTTAAGAGAAAAAAGTCTTGCTATGTTGCCCAGGCTGGGGTGCCGTGGCAAATTACAGGCACAATCAAACTACTGATCAGCATCAGAATTTTGACCTGCTCCATTTTTAATCTTGGCTGGTTCACCCCTCCTTAGGAAATGAGGTGGTCCCCTGATCCTCTGAGGTCAGCATATTGATGTTGAATTTAGTGGGGACACCAGATTGGTATAGTACACCACAGTCCAGAAATCCTGGGCTCAAGAGATCCTCCTGCAGGCCAGGCGTGGTGGCTCACGCCTGTGATCCTAGCACTCTGGGAGGCCGAGGCGGGCGGATTGCTCGAGGTCAGGAGTTCAAAACTACCCTGAGTGAGACCCTGTCTTTACTAAAAATAGAAAGAAATTAATTGACCAATGAAAAATATATATACAAAAAATTAGCTGGGCATGGTGGCGCATGCCTGTAGTCCCAGCTACTTGGGAGGCTGAGGGAGAGATCACTTGAGCCCAGGAGATTGGGGTTGCTGTGAGCTAGGCTGACGCCACGGCAC